TAGTAAAAAATGAACTATTATGTATCAAAAAATGAACCGTTGATGAATTGTTTTTTAGAAAATGTCTGACGACTTTGCAGGACAAAATCAAGCACTCAAACTCCATTTACCAGCTTTGCCCTCCTCATTACACTCTTTTTACCAACTTTGAAGAGAGAGAAATGTGGCACTCAAACAACTTCACGGGGGGATAAAATGGTCAATTTCCTTCCATTTTGAAGAAACATACCTGAACAATTGTTGCCAGTGGGCCCTCACGATGTGACCCAAAAATCAATTTTTATTGGGTAAAATCGCTCCCAGACACCCCCGTAATATGATTTTTTTTTATTTGAAAAAAAATGTGTACCGTTTTGAACTTATATTTTGTGTTATTTTGAATGTTTTTACATTCATGTTTTGTTTTTATAATTAGTTGGAAAATTGTTTAAGTTCATTGTCATGTATATTTATAGGATGTTTGCTGGGGACTAAAATTAGATTTTTAGTGGATTGTGATAGAAGTTTTTGAAATATGTAGTTGAAAAAATGTGGGATACATGAAAGATGTGGTTAATATTGATTGTTTGACTTTGACTTGAATTAAAATAAGATTTTAATCCGATCCAAACATGCCCTTAGTTTTTGTTATTTTACGGAAATACAATGTTATTGTGAATGATGTTGATTGAGCTCATATTTGATGCTTTCAAGTAAAGACTAAAGGACAATAATATGATTATGATATGATCTGTATTTGTATAGATGTGTAAATATTGTGGACGTGGGGATTTACTACCATAGTTCTAAAAGCAGAGCCTCCCAATGAGATGGATTCTCGAAACTCTTGATAAATATGCTAGATTCTTTGATTTACAAGAAATAAAATTAAATGAAATGGGCGATTCATACATATTAATTGCATACAACTATAAAATTCCAGCAACTAATGTAAAAAGAGTATAATAAATCTAAGATTAAATCTTTCATTAATGACCTACAATTTCTAGCGTATAGGAAGATCTAATATCTTAAAACGTCACACCTATGTCAAGAACATCTATGTGGATAAAATGTCCTCCATACAACAGCTGCAACCACTTCCTTTAGGTTTGATGCCCTGGAATGTGGTGACGGCTGCTCATCACTAGCAACAATATTTTCAGCCTCTGTATTGACGAGTTATCAAAGTTCTCATGGAAGGGGACTGCCCCAATATTACGATTGAAGTGATTTTGTTTTCTCGCAACTTCCATTTGTCACCTATATGCACAAAATGTTCAACTACCAAACGACAAAATTTTCACAAATAATTTATCTAATACTTTATTAAATAAGGAATCTTTCACAACATTTTATGTAGAAGATTGCTATCTTTATTAAAAAATATATGCAAAACCAAACCAAATGAATGAATAGTAATTTGGAAAATTACAAATTAATACGACCATGTTGTATTTAGCAATTCAAAAATAGTAAATTAAGGCATCTTTATGGCATTATGCTCTTACTCTTAAATTAATTCGAAAATTTGAGTAATGTTGCTCGTGATGGATTTTCATTATATAGAATTTTATACTTTATTCTCGAGTTTATTTTCTAATTACTTGCACAAATATATCTTGGAACTTCATAAGATGAGAATAAATACAGGGAGTACTTTCCTATTTTCACAATTCTAAGTTCGTTCTCCTAAAGATAAAGATACGAACTTTATTGATATCAATCAAATTCTGCCTGTGTTGAGGGATTCATTGTAGATGCACAAGAAGATAATGGAAAAGTGCAAATTGCTAGTGCGAGTGCAAGTGATGGAATACACTTTAAATTCAACTGCTTGCTCATACTCATTCATTTCAAACAACTACAAAATCTACATGTGGCCTGGTTAGGCCACGCCGATTGCATTTCTTGGTGCGTAAGCTAAACTCGTATTATTACTTCTACTTGAAAAATTGAGATTGCAATGATAAACATTTTGCACAATCAACATGTCGGCCTCTAATAGCATGAAAGTGACACATTCGACTATTTAAATACGAACAATAGCTAACAGGTGAAATCGATAGTTAAAATGTATATCTCGACATTTCTAAAATGTCGAATTCGATAGTTTGTTTTGACAATTCAATTGTCGAAACTGACGGGAAGCATTTAATGGGTGTGATTGGAATATGTTCTTTATAGTATTAAGTATGGTCATCAATATTGTAATACAAAATAATAAAATCTTCTTCCTAAATAATTTGCTCAGTGAATCATTAAAGAGGTAATCCTTCACAATATTTTAATTGGTGTGATAGGAAATAATTACTCATAAGATTAGCCTGGGATTTGGTGAAAATTCAAATTCAAATTTTAATTTTAATATAAGTTAAAGTAAACAATTAATTTCCATCACACATTTTATGGGATTCATTTTCAATTATATCTTTTATCAACTTCTATCAAAACCTAGTAAAAATTTGATTTTAATCCCTTTCAAACAGGGTATAAGTGTGCTCATCAATCCTCAACAGCAAAATGACAAAATATTCCCAAATAATTTAACCAATGCTTCAGTAAATAGATAATCCTTCACAACATTTGTGAATGATATTTTTATCTTTATTAAAAAAAAATTTCAAGAACCAAACTGAATTAATCAATAATAATTTGAAAATTTTCAAATAAATATGACAATATTGTATTTAACAATTCAAAATTAATAAGTTATAGGATAAAAAACATAAACAATTTGTAAATGCTAACATCTTAAAATGAAATACGAATCCACTAATAATTTATTCTTCTTATTTAAATGGAGAAGATGTTAACAAAGTTGAGATTTTTCGTTTATGGAAATCGGCTTCTACATTTATATAAATTTGGTTTTTTTTTTAAAATTCATATTACTCAATGTATTATACATAGATTCAATAGTTCTAATACACAACTCAAAACATCACACAATTGCATTAATGAACATTAAATGCTCCAAAAAATGTAATATCTAAGGGCGATTTGGACATTTCATTGTTAACTAAAGAATAACTAATCAAGAGGGGGGTGAATTGGTTTTTGAAACTTTTTCGACACTTAGTTTCAAAACAATACAATACACAAGACATGAATGTAAAGTATAATACTAGAATTAAATATGCAAGTTCGATAACTTAATTCAAGTATGAATATAACACAATATAAATGATAATGTAAAGTAAAATGCGATAATGTAAAGATAACAAATCAATTTAATAGGGTTCGATACACAATGTGTTTTAAGTCACCGTTACCAAACTCTCCGTCACGAGTAAGGCCAAATGCACTATAATGGTAATTTACAACAATGAGTACTAATATTTAAGCGACTTACAATAAGGAGCACTTATCCTTAGGTGACTTACAATAAGGAGTACCAATCCTTATGTGACTTTCAACAAGGAGTACAAATCCTTAAGTGACTTACAATAAGGAGTACTTATGCTTAGGTGACTCACAACAAAGAGCATCTATTCTTGAGTGACTTACAACAAAAAACATTTATCTTTAGATGACTTACAACAAGGAGCACATATCTTTACAATCGAGTTTTCACAATACTCTCGAAACTTTCAAAATGTAAGCGAGTTAAAAAATTTCCACAGGGTCACTGAATTAGTGATTCCCTTGGAAACTTTTTGTAAAGTTTAGTGATAAATGAGATGATTTTTAAGGTTTAGTAACCCGTGTAAACCTTTTGCAATGTTCAATTTGAGTAATTTTTAAAGTTCGATGACCGTGTAAATTTTTTTTACAAAGTTCAATAATCATTTGGGATATTGACCCCTACTTTATTTTTATTTTTGATGAAACATATTTCATTGAACAACGCAATAGTTGAACGGTACACGGAGGAACACTTACAACACAATGCCCTACAAAGAGAGATTAAGTGCGATCAAAGCCTAAGCCCAAACTATTACAACTGTCAGAACGACCAAAAAACCAACAAACAAAAAGACCATCAAACAAACAAAAAACAACCCAAACCACATAACCCCAAGCCACAACAGGCGAGCCAGAAAGAGACCCAAATCCACAGCAATGGCAACCTTCCAGAAACGAGGTCTTCATCAACCATCAATTCAAATAAGCCCTTCACCATCACAGTGAGCGAAGATCCAAAGAAACCAGAAGAATCACCGCACAAACCAAAAACTCCACCAGCCCACCAAACCACCTCCAACCAAACCAGACCACAACACAAAAACACCACCACCCGACTCAACCCAACAACAACCACACACCGTGAACACCCCCAATCAACACCCAAAAAGACCCCGACACCACACCACCGATCACCCACCCAGCCACCGCTGCAACAGCAGCCAAAACGGCTCGCTGGCAAAAACCCCAACCAGCAACAGCGCCCCTGTCGATTCCGGCCGCCTGAGAGACAACGACCAACGCCCGCCGCTCCACACCAGCCCAGCCTCGCTCGCCCCTCTCTTTGACCCCTACTTTTTATGACTTGACTTTTCAAACGTGTATTTTGTTAATTTTTATTAAAATCTGTTAATATTTTTATTTAAACGGAACCTTTATAAACCCTGGAAAGCGAATTTATTTTAGCCTTTAAAATCGTGGGACCCACGACTTTTAAGATGTGGACAGTGGACTTAATGATGAAACACAGAAGAGCAATCGATCCATCCGGTTGTATCTCTAAACAAATTTTGCATCGACAGCTGAAAATAAACTCTCAGTCGCCGGATTTTAAAATGGAAATGAACTCATCTCACACGTCATGACCAATAAGATTCCAATTGGCAACCAAATGGAGGCGCCGTCGGTGCTCGCATACAACTAAAATATCTTGCACCTTACACGCGTCGCTATTCAATTTGTCCTGTTTTAGAGTCAAGCAATAATAACTTGACACGTACGTCTAAGAACTATAACTCAATGCAGGCAATTAAAAGCCGAATTGCTTCTGGCGATTGATTTCTTATATCAAAGAAAATCAATCAGAGTCGTCGGAGGGGTAGTGAGAGATCAATATGTCGTTGGAAGACGAGTCGCTAAGGGAAGGAAGTCTCGAGGAGGACTCGCCGTACGATGCCGGAGATATGATCGACGAGCCTCAGCCTCCGCCACCGCCGTCGATGGTGTTATCGGAGAACAAGGAAAACGGTCCAGTTCTACCTCCACCGGTGGATATGATGCAAGAGGAAGGCTTAGCTCTTAGAGAGTGGAGAAGGTGACTTCAAAAAATCCTATGCATGAGCGTACACCGATCATCTCTGCCTTCGTTAATATTATATGTTAGAATTTATTGGATGATTCGTAGAGTAAATTTTGGTATTCTTGAGAAATCTTTGTGCTAAAATCTTTAGGGAAAATGCAATTCGGCTGGAGGAGAAAGAGAAGAGGGAGAAGGAGATGTTGAAGGATATAATTGACGAAGCTGATGAATACAAAGCAGAGTATTACAGGAAATGGAAGATCAGATGTGAGAACAGTAGAGCTACCAACAGGGAGAAGGAGAAGGTTAGATTCATAAATTAACTAAAATTCTGCAATTATCAATGATAGAATTTATATATAAAATGACACTGTGTCGATTGAGACTGTGAGCTGAATTTGGCAGATTCATTAAACAAAAATGATGAACTAAGATTGGTTCTCAGTAAATTTAGAGTAGACTACACAAATCCTCATTTGCAACTCTGATCCATAGCAAGTGTTACGAATAATAATAGTTTGATCTACCTTCCCTTCCCTCATCCATCATGTTTTATCGAGCTTGCATCACTCTTATAAACACGAACTTCTTTGTATCTAAGCAAAACACTTCTTAACCACGTCAGTACTCATTTTCTTAATTTATTCTCAATAACGTATATTGTCATTTTTTTTATCTTCTTCACTTTAGTAGGCAACACATCCAAATTAGTCTTAGGAAGTCGTGATTCGTGAACCACCTCATCTAAAGTTCAAGCTATCAAATATGAAACAGGTTTAATTATTTACATTTAGTAGTCTTCAACACGCCATATTGTGCAGGCTAGATTCATTTTCGTCGAAGGCCTGATGTGTTGAGAGTGTGTATAAATGGACGACGGATGAGTTGAACACTTAGAGTCTGTTTGTTCTTATGCTAATTTGAACGGACCACTTTATCTGAAATTTTACTCTGTTGAAACTGAATTAGTAATTCGAATCGTATTCTGCAGTTGGCTTTGGAAAGCAGAGAAAAATTCCATGCAGAGGCTAACAAAACCTACTGGAAATCAATTGCTGAACTTGTACCAAAGGAAATTCCAGCAATTGAGAAGAAAGGTAAAAAGGGTAAAGAAAAGCAGCCTTCCATTGTTGTGATTCAAGGCCCCAAGCCTGGCAAGCCAACTGACCTTTCAAGGATGCGTCAATTACTTGTCAAACTCAAACACAAACCTCCGCCTCACATGACGCCGCTGCCACCACCACCCGAATCCGGAGAAGAGGCTAAAACCGCTGAGTCTGCTAAGTCTCCGCTTCCATCCAAACCCGAAGGTATATCGGGTGTTGCAAAATGAAAGTTGATGGAGCTGAATTGTTTAGTAGATAGACATAACCTTTGTGCATATTCTTGGAACATATATTTATACCTTGCTAGTTTAAGGGAGTTCTTACAACATATCTTTGGTCATTTGGTGTGTAATTAAAGACAATAGCTTGTCTTGCTCGTTACTTTTGTTGTCTGAGATGTTTATTCTCTCGTCCATGAACCATTCATTTTGACTTAATGTATAATGTGTATATGCTAGTCTTTCTTTTTTCTCCTTTACTATTCTTCTTAAGGCCAATATTTTCTTTTCTTTTCAATTTTATTTCATTGTTCTCTTATCTATCAAATGGGAAAATGAATGAACTTTGCTATAGGTACAGGAAAATCAACTGAAGTTACACCTGGATGATTTTCATTGGAAGAAAAAGATAAAAAAAAGAGGCTAATAGGATGCTGCCACGTCAGCACCTTGTTCAACTTCTGTAAAAGAAAGCATGTACTTGCAGGTTTATTCAAAATGAATAGTAACTTTATGTCGTGACAATCATGTCAAAATCACATACTAAATATCTATTTCTAACTTCATGTATTCATCAAGAAATTAATATTACAATGATAAAAATAAGAAAAATCTCGAACTGGTTAAAAAGAGTGGAAGTGGTTAGAGATTACATTGGGTGCATCATCTAGGAATCATCTCTGTGATACTTTGATGACTATCGAAGTGGGTTGATGTCACTAAAGGATTAGCTGATTGTTTCCCTTTGCTTAGTTGAGAAGACGACGCTATGTGCAAACTACCACTGTCCGATGTTTGCGAAGTTTGTGGCCTATAGACTCCCGGCTCCGTTAATAAGCTATCATTTAGGACAACATCTTTTGAAAGCATCGTCACAACTTGTTTCATATCGGGCCTTCGTTGAGAAGCTGATTGTGTACAGAAGAGTGCGACGGTGATGAAGCGTGTTAATTGATCCGGCGAATATCCTACGAGATCTGGGTCAATTATCTCCAAAATTCTACCTTCATTTCTTAGTTTCCATGCCTGCAATTACAGGTTTTACACATTAAAAGATGTCCTTGAAATTGCATCCCATTATTTTAAATCAGGAAAGTTGCACCATTGATCCCCAACCTATTACCCGAGTAGCATGTTGGTCTATATACGTTTATATAAGTTGGTTCTCAACCTTTCACAATCATTCCACAACAATAGAAACCATCCAAATCTTCAGTAAACCTTCGCGTGGATGTCATGGAAACATATATTACTTCAAATTTGTGAACAGCAACCCAAGTTACAAACCAAAACCTAGCTTCATATAGTTGGACTTGTGAGGTTCATATGACAATTAAACAAAGATTTGGGCCATTTCGGTCGTTAGGGACTAATTGTGCATATTATAATGGACGGTTGAAGACCAGCTTGCTTCTGTTTGAAAGGTTAAGGACTAACTTGATACTGGGGCAATTTTAGGACCAACGCTGCAATTTTCCGCTGAGAATACTTTTGACTATATATAAACACATTTTTAGGTTTTCTAACAAACTTTCAAACTATTATAGGATAGATCATATCACATTATCGATTCAAAAGAAGTTTTAGAAACTTACCCATTCAAGTAGAACCAAGAGCTCCTCTCCAAATGCAGCTTTGCTGCTACTTTTGCCGCTTATGATTTCGAGTAAAAGCACCCCAAAACTGTATACATCTGCCTTCTTTGTCAGTTGCGCTAACACGGCATATTCAGGAGCTAGATATCCACTGAAGTTATGTAATAAATAAACCAGTGAGATACAATGAAGAACAACATTGCATTAGATTGTTTTTCAATTTATTTTTCTTTTTCTAAAGGGGGATGAGAGTTATGCGGAAAAAGGGACCAGTCGTCATATATTTGAAAGGTTAATTCACTAGCCCAGCTCAAGGAGTAACTTATTCGAAAGGTTAACTCACTAGCCCAGCTCAAGGAGTAACTTCTAAACTAGCATGTTTCTCTTGATAAAATAGTAAACCTGGGAATGGAAAATAAAGTGTTAAAAAATAAAGGTAAATGGAAATTCACACTTACATAGTTCCCGCTACTCGCGTACTAACATGGGTGACATTGTCAGGAAAAAGTTTAGCCAAACCAAAATCTCCAATTTTGGGATTGAAGTCCTTATCGAGAAGAACATTGCTAGCTTTTATATCTCGATGGACAATAGGAGGTTCAGCTTCCTCATGAAGAAATGCAAGACCAGAAGCTGTACCCACACATATAGTAGCCCTCTTGGGCCAATCAAGATCAAAATTTTTACTTTTTGAACCTGAAATGAAAAGTTCATTTGTTGAGTTAACTTGGCAATGCATTTTCCTTGATGTAAGATGTGATGAACACTGATCATAGTTTAACGCAGACAAACGGTATGGTTCCACTTCATACAAGTTACTAATGACTCCTTGATGTCTCAACCTAGACAGCACAATCGAGCATGAGAACCTGAAATATTGTCAGCTCTTTCAATCTATACTCTAAACTGTATTCCCCTGCCCAATAAATACATGGGCATCTAATCTAGTGGATGCAACACATTGTCCATTGCCTTAACTAAGTTGTTCAGACCTTCAAGTGCATGTTCGGCATTCACTATTAGACCATATTTAGAGCATGTTTGGTAGGGCTTAAAATCCAATTAAAATTGAAAATATAGCCGTTGGGTCTCACTCATCTAATAAAAGTCAACAATAACGGCTAGTTTTTCAATTTTAATTCGATTTTAATCTCTATCGAACACGCCCTTATAGTACAATGAACCAGATATTAGTTTCTTTTCTTTCTTATATTGTGCAAGTGCTGTTAATCCACCTTATCAAATTAGGCCACCCTTCAAATCATGTGTATACTTTAATCATCCAAAGTGATAAAAGTTCTAGCCTTACCAAGTAAAGCACTGGCGAGGCTGCCATTCTCCAAATATTCATACACCAGTATTCTATTGGTGCCCTCAATGCAACATCCAATGAGTTGAACAAGGTTTGCATGTTGGGTACTTGATATCATATTAATCTCTGTCAAGAATTCGTTTGTGCCTTGCTTAGATTCAGCAGAAAGAGTCTTGATAGCAACTTCAGTTCCATCCCTCAGAACTCCCTGGGATACAAGCTCAAGCTACGTAAGCAAGCAAATTAATGGAGAAGGGTATTAAAAGGGGGGAAAAACAGGTTGTACATTCATGGACAAACTACTTAACAATCAGTCTCTTCAATCCAATCCTGGATCCCCTTCTTGGTGAGAGATGAATGTGGAAATTTGACTAAATGGGTCTAAATGGATTGGTGTAGAGTGGTTAGTCATGCTTAACTATTTTAAGGCTTGTTTTGGATTATTTAAACCAAAAGTCAAATGGGTGGGTTTTGGCAGGTGCAAATTACACCTACTATAATTATTGAATGCACCCAAAACCAATTATTATGGGTGGATGCCCTTCTATCCACTCTAGTGAGAGATATTATGGTAAATTTAAGCCACATCATCCGCTGACAATGGACATTAAACTCACCTTGTACACTACTCCGAAGCCACCTCTACCAATTCTGTTCGAAGGATGGAAATGTCTGGTTGCTGATCTCAATGAATTATAAGAGAACAGCTTAACATTGTTGGTAACAATTCCTGACCATGTAGCATTTTTTTTGTACTTATGAACCCCTGCTCATTTAAAATAATAATATAACAAGTAAAAGTAACTTTAGAGCACGGTGGGTCAAACCCAAATTTAAGTTAAAAAATTTAGATAGGTTACATTTTTCTTTTTTCCTTTTTTCTTTTAAGTAAAAAAAAAAAAACAAACTTATTTGAAAGTAATTTTTGAGTTACTGTCAAAATAAGTATATTATTTCAATTTTAACTAATAAAAAAAAAAAATACTTTTTTTAGAAACTACTTACTTTTACTGATAGGTTTCAAACTTTAGCAAGATCAGTCAAGAAATCAACATTAGCAGCAAGGACATAGGAAAGCAGAAAATCTAGCAGGTTCATTCCCAACATAGAAGACTATAAAATGATCAGGCTTGGGTACTAGGAACATGCAATACAGGGGATTCTAGTATTTCACTTACGTATTCTTGAATTTGAGGTGCTGGAATTTCAGTTAAAAGGGTATTCATACTGGATATGGGAATACGAACACATTAATCAAAAAATTAGCAAACTGATGTTCAACTGCTCTATATAAGGCTCTGGATAAATTATATGCTTATTTTGAGAAAAGAATTCCCATTATTCCCTAGGACCCCAGTGGAAAAAAAAAAAAAAAATTATTTGAAAGTAATTTTTGAGTTACTGTCAAAATAAGTATATTATTTCAATTTTAACTAATAAAAAAAAACTTTTTTTTAGAAACTACTTACATTTACTGATAGGTTTCAAACTTTAGCAAGCTCAGATCAAGAAATCCACATTAGCAGCACGGACATAGGAATGCAGAAAATCTAGCAGGCTTCATTCCCAACATAGATGACTATAAATTATAAAATGATCAGGCTTGGGAACTAGGAACATGCAATACAGGGGATTCTAGTATTGAACTTACGTATTCTTGAATTTGAGGTGCTGGAATTTCAGTTAAAAGGGTATTCATACTGGATATGGGAATACAAACACATTAATCAAAAACTTAGCAAACTGATGTTCAACTGCTCTAATTAAGGCTCCGGATAAATTATATGCTTATTTTGAGGAAAGAATTCACATTATTCCCTAGGACCCCAGTGGACAAAATGCTTAGAATCCGTGCTCAACGAGCTTGAATAATCAGGCCTACGTAACATTAGGTAATGCCCGATACTCTTTAACCCACAAGCATATTATACAGCTTAGATTCTAATATTCAGCATTACTTGCATGGTTATTTTTCAAGAGAAAGAAGGCAAGGCTGCATTTTGAACCAAATTGATATTTAGATCACATAAAACTCTTTTAGTTTCTCTACAATAATTTCCCCTTTCCGCCCTAAAGCAATTTGAATAACAGCATCTGAGATGTATTGAATAATAAGTAATACAAGGCCAAGCTTCGCAAAATAAGCAAATGATTGCTCAATCAAATCAAATTTGACTCCAAATACATTTGAGGATGATCAAAATCCCAACATCTGTATTAAGTGATAAAACGAACCACGTTTGTTAATTAAGAAATCCAGAGTACCATTTAATGATCCTGCCCTACTCCCCCTATCTCATGTTCTTTGACACGATATTTTAGTTGGTCCTAATTCAGCATTAACTGATTCATTCGGGAATTCCAAAGTATTATCTAATAATCATGGGATACTTCATCTATGGCCAAATGGTTCAAAGGTAGAACCTTGTGATTTTCTATCAATCTAAAGAACTGGCTTAAAAACATGGGAGTAAAGGTATGAATTCTTCGTCGTCCTCTTATTCATGTAATCAAAATCTTAACCAAAATAGTTTCTCAAGATTAAACTCAGTTTGTCAAAGGAATATGAACAATCAGAGCTAAATGTCAACCTCTGGTCCGAGACGAATTATTCAAGAATCTTTTCGCTACAACATATCCATCAATTCTATCAAGTATAAGAGAAACCCAATATTTCCTTTTGCCAGTAAGGAAAACATACATTTCTATACCACCAAAATATTTAATCTTTAACCATACATATATAATAGTATCATTTTTCTTAACTTCAGTAGAAGTACCAAAAAAAAGGGGGGGAAAATGAAAGAAAATTCGGGGCAGCATAAATAAATACGATCATGAAAACATAAATCATAATGAATTTCTCACCTTTGGCCACTGCTTCAGTTTTTTCTTTGCAAGAATCAAATGCACCAAAACAATTAGTGAAAGCCATCGGTTTACACATTTGGAATATCAAACAGAACCCTCAGTCTGCCAAAAAAAAAAAGGAAAGAAAAAAAAAAGAACAAACCCACAATTTATTTTTTGTTTTTTTAAGGAAAATGAAGAAGAAGAGGGCCAAGAGGCCAAAGCTGAGATATCTGATTTCAATGCAGAACACAATAAAACTGAAGATGTCGTGCCGACATGGAAAACTGAATCGCTATATAACAAAAAAAAAGTTATACGCGTGAGCCCAAGAATTATTACTTGCTATTAAATTGTTGGAGGTGGTGGTGAATCATGATTTCTTTTTGCTTCTGTAGTTGGGATTTCGACAGTGACAATATAGTGGGGGTGGACTTGTGCGTGAATTTTCCATTTTTTTAAAAACTTGTATTTATATTCTCTGTTCTTGTCGCTTGAGGTGTAAATTGTACGCTAATAATTTGGTGTGTTGGCTTAAAATAGATGGTGATATTTATATTTTTCACACGCTCATTTTGACTTTGGGTAAACTCTCTTAAGACACTCAACCTTAAAACTTTTAACAATGAGTATACAATGTCATATGACGAAATACATCTATTGAGACGGTACCGTTTGACTCGATTGCCACACCTGTTAAAAAAAAGGGTAAAATTGTTCAAGAAAAGGTTTTCCTCCAATTTGAATACATTGACCACCTGATTAAAAAAGGGGTAAAATTGTCCAAGAAAAGATTTTCCTCCAATTTGAATACATTGATTGATTCCCTCTATTGCTATCAATATCGGCTACTATGTGTTCGTGCTAGTATTTAAATTGGGAAGACATCTTTTTCCGGTAATTTTACCCTTTCAATCACGTCAAGAGCTAAGGGTCCGTTTGATTCTCATTATTGTAGAATGAGAATGAAAAATATAGTCGTTATTGTGTCCCACACAAGAGATAGAAATTCAAAATTGATGGCTTGGTGTGATGGATAACGGTTATATTTTTCATTTTTATGGATAAAAATAAGAAACAAACGTGGGCTTAACGTCTAAAGATATTTCTTGTACACCAAACGCACAATGTTAAAAAGGTTGGGGACCTCCGGAAGAATCTATCCTTTTGACTTTACCTTTTGCTGCCGTTTTTTCTTATGGTCCCGCGGGATTGACTTTGAAGGCCATCAACGTTTTCATATTGTTTAATTCACTAATTAATGTTAGTGGAAATATTTAAATCTTAAACTTGATGAGCAATTTTATCTCAAATATTCTAATGGAATTAGGATAGATCAAATTAATTAATTAATTTAGCGGTTCTATTAAAATCGAGAAGTAACTCTTGATTTTAGTCACGTAATCGAATTTTTTTTTTCATCGGTCGTTTTTTTCATTATTAATTTAATGAGACCAAATTCTAATTCAAGTGATAAGAACGAACCTTTACCAACTTTAGTGACAAATTGACTCCGCGTGAAATCTTTTTTCTATAAAATTTAAATCCTATGGTATGATTTGGCAAAGTCGCCAATCTTGTCTTTCGTTGGTTAATTAATGACTAATGACTTATTCCATTTTTTTTTTTTTTATATATTAAGTTGGGCCCAATTAATTTCTTCTTTGAAGGGGTCTAATTTCGATATATTTGAACTCAAAATGTGGTGAAATAAGTCTTTGATGAATTTCTAGAATGAATTCATTTTTTTTTTCTAGCATTCCTTTTCAAAGTTAATGCATATCTTGACCGTAAGCAGATTGAAATAAAATATTTAGGGCACGTTTGATGTAGAATTTTTAGGATACATTTTGTAAAAAATTGATTTTTTTGGAGTGTGGGGTTAAAATGTAGAAAAATTATTGATTCATATGAAAATTTATTTTATTTAAAGAAAGTGCAGTTGAAAAATGATTTGAAAAAAAAAATTAAAAAATGGGTATCAAACGTAAACTTAGAATTTTTAAAACAATTAAGTGAGAACAGCATATTAATTGAATGAATATTAGTCAAAGAGTATTTTTTAATTAACACATAAAGAGAAAAGAAAATGTGGTGCGGGATGGTTTGAAAAGTCATGTTTGCTATTGTTTTTGTTTTTCTATTCCTCCTTTAATGCCTTTAGATTCTCTTCAAAGTAAAGGCCATCAAAATTTTTAAATTCTTGTGAATAAATGACTTTGGCTAGACAATTGCTTATTTATAATCTATAATATATTAGGTGCCGTTTGATTGCAATAGTGAGATTTGAGTGGAAAGAAAATGAATTCTAGGAAATTGAATTGCTTGGAATTGTTTTCCTAGAAATCGTCAATTATTAGTGTTTGATTATTATAATTTTTCTCGTGAAAATATTGAAATTTTAGATCTTTTGGTGTTCGTTTGACTTTATTTTATATGGAAATCGTCCATTAAAATAATAGAATCTGTTACAATTGGGAATAGAATTTGTTTCCATTGTAAAAAAAAAAAAAGGTGGAAAACCATTTTCCCACTAAAGTGATGGGAAAACCAATTCAATGAAAAACCAGAAAAGGAGAAAACCATTTGTCAACAAAATTTTGCCCATCAAACAAGCAAAAAAAGTGGAAAATAGAAAATCAATTCCTAGTTCCATGGAAAAGAAATACTATCAAACATGGCCTTAGTTCCTACACTATTCTTATTTAATTTTGATTGTATAAATCGAAACATTTTCGTGCGTCAAGACTATTAAATTCTTCAATTCCATCCGATAAGGTTCTTCATGTATTTGAGGAGTCGCATGTATTAGGAAGAACATACATGATTGTGGTTTATGGGATTCAGTGTTTGGTTAAGCAAATGACTCCAACAAAGTAGTTTCATTCCAATCTATGGTGCCTATATAACATATTATCTTCGCTATATATGTTGAGATAGTTTAGTTTACGACTAAAATATAGACAATATCATTCAGTACTCAACAATCTTTGCAATCTCCCTTTCAAAAGTTTCAAAAATTGTTCCTCGTGAGGGTTGGTACTTAGAGAGGGAATTTAAGACCAACTTTACTTCATTTATGACGATGCTACATGAAAATATCCATTTTACAGGTTAAAAAAGAAAAAAAAAAATCGTTTTACCTTTGATACAATGGTTGTTAAAATTTACTAATGGACTATTTTCGTCGATGATTCCAATAGTCTTCAAATTTCTTTCGACAAGTTCACTGTTCGTTTTCCTGATGTTATCCGTAAACGACGAAACTCCTGCCCTAATTATGAAATTTAGTGTTGTTGACTAATATATCCAACTTAGGCTACTTAATTTATATAATATTAATTAAAAAAATTAAAATTAAAGTGAGTAAAATAAGGTAAAAATATGTGTATATCAGGAGAAATAGTGATCTAAAAGTGACGTGAACCATACGTTCACTTCTACTAGTAAATATATGTTTTATTGATCAATGACACAGGAGAATTTTGGTTAAGGGAAAGTCTTTGTTTATAAAAAGAAGTGAAAACGACATCCCCTTAATACACTTAAATAATATATGAGCAGCCTTGATGACAAATTTAAAATTAATAATGGTGTTCATCGTTCAGAACGAGGCTGCATTTGAATAGTAAACTGAAAGAAAGAAAAAATAAAAGAAACATCTTACAAACTCAACAAAGAAAATGGACATTGCAAAAGAACCAAGAGACAGAATTGATGTCTGTGATATAACCTGAGGATTCTATTAAGTTTGTTTAATGTTAAGTGCACACAAATCCTATCATATAACACCGATATACAACAATATATTGCAAAGGACTATCAATAAAAAAAGCATTATCGAATGCAATATTATGATAAGTTAGTCGATTTCTACGCGAAATGCATTGCACGTCTCACCATCTTCGAGATCAAGATGCCGAGACAGTTGAATCTCGAGCATTATTTCGTGTTTTAGCAGTCACTGGCTGCCAACTTGATTGTGTTCAACTTCACTTCCATCGAGAAAGTAGGCATTGTTGATGCTAAGCTCAGAGCTATCGCTGTTTGTGGCTAGAGGAGATTCTGATACCCCAACCGTACTGCTGTTAGCAGAGCTGGATCGAAGACCATAGTTAGACGAAGCCGAAGTGCCAGTTACTACTGGTCGCAAACTGTTGTGAACACTTCGTGTAATATCCTGTCCAAAGCAAACTGATAAGTGAATCTGTGACATTACTAAGGATTTGATATTAATCATACCAAACAAGCTGTAGCTGTTTAACCATTGACCTCATGCTTGCCAAATTGTGTCGTTTCTCGCATTCTATGCACCTAGTACGTGTAGTACTTGTAGCTTATTACTTTCTAAACAACGATATATTTTGAATATTGTTAACATAGTGAAGTGTGAAAGATACGAACCATATGCCTTATAGCCATGTCCAACGACTTCTTGGAGAGTGATCTTCCAAAGCCCGAATTCTCTTGGGAAGATTTTTTGGGGTTGTCATGAGACACATGTTTGTCTTGTTTGGGTGGAGCTAGTTTCCTCATGTTTACCACTCTTTCGACCATCTTTGTACCAATCAGTACCGGGTTCACATCATCTCCACACTTGTTATGTCCTCGACTTTTAGACAGTATAGAGCTACCATTTTTATTAGCAGCACCGTTTAGAGCACGTACTCTGGTAGGAGAGCATGATTTTCGTCTCGGTTTTCCATTGGAACTTGAGCGAACTAAAGAGGACTGAGTAGCAGGTGCACTTGGTCGTCCCCTGGAGGCAGAAGAAGGCCTTTTATGCGTCAATGATCTTATGTTTTGAGGAGCATCGCGTGACACGCCAATCAGCTCTGAGGATTTTGACGGCCTAGATTTTACCGTTGGAGAAATTCCACGTGATGGCACTGGATTTTTCGTGAGCCCTGCTTTTATCCCTGATGAAGATTGATCAGAAGCAGCCATGCCAGGTGTGGTCGATGGTTTACGGGTCGGTGTTGCAGATCTCGACCCAGATTTTGAAGCCACCGCCATTGAGGGTCGGGCAGCTGGTGTGGAAGAACGTTTAGCAGCAGTGTTTGATGGAGTCGAGGATCTCACTATAGGAGCCGTGTT